GATACGGCCCAGTGTAAACCCAAGATTCATCAACAATGTTGGAATACACTCTCCCTCCAAGCTCCCTCTTCATAGGTCCCTACAAGGGTTCATGTCCGCTGATGGAAGTGCCCAGTTGAGGGGCAACTGTGTGAAAATCCTGAAGCGTACCGAAACACCATTCCCAGGACGTCCACGCCACGATTCAACCTGACTGTGGCGTCTTGACGACCCTGACTCGTGCCAGAACACCATTCCTTGGGACTTCAACACCGCGAATCAACGTAACTCTTGCGCCCTGACAATCCTGATCCTAACCGTGGGAACCAGTGGGACTCTTGCAATTTTTTTATGACGAATGTGCGCGTCGCTGAGGCGAGAGCCAAATTTTGAAAAGGAACCGCCCTGCATTCGTGAACCTCTTGAGAACGAATGTCCGCGCCGCGAAGGCGAGAGCCACATTTTGAAAATGACCTGTCCTAAATCCGTGAAGCTTTTGCGAATTTTTGACAACGGATGTGCGCGGCGCTGTGGCGAGAGCTACATTTCGAAAACGATCTGTCCTCAATCCGTGAAGCTCTCGCGAATTCTTAAACCGAATGTGCGCGGCGCTAAGGCGAGAGCCACATTTTGGAAGCGATCCGCTCTCCATCTGCGAACGGGAAGTCTCAGGAATAACGCTCGGTCCCTTCCGACTGGCCTCGGGGTGCGACAGGGGGGAGTTATTCAGAAGGACAAAGAATTGAGGAAGAGGAGAAGGAGGATGAGGAAAGGGGGAGGGGTAGGGAGACGAGGACGGGGGAGGCGGCGAGGGAGGAGGAGGTGGAGGAGGTGGAGGAGGAGCCGGAGGGGGAGGATGGAGCAGCTTGAGAATTACGATTGTTATGATGATGATGATGAGGATGCTGTCCATGAGGAGGGGGAGCAGGAAGAGGAGGAGGAGGAGGAGGCGGACTAGGACGATGATGAGGATGACCCCAGGCGCTTGCGAGTCTTATTACATTAACGTCAGTCGCGACCTTGGGTTGGGTTTCGTAAGCTTTCTGACCACCAGGGCGTTGCGGGGGCAGCTCTAGGGAGGAGTGGGATGATGATGATGACGATGCTGATGATGATGGTGCTGATTATGATGATGGTGACGTTGCAATGACGTTGCTGATGCTGCTGACGAGTATGCTGATGCTGCTGCTGCTCATATAGATGACGATGAAGACGATGCTGAAGATTATGATGATGATGGTGACGATTGTTATGATGATGATGCTGACGATGCTGAAGATGATTCTGAAGATCATGATACCGACGATAACGACAACGACGGTGACGATGATGATGACGCTGATGATGCCGAAAAAGATGATGCCGATGATGACGATGACGATGATGATGATGATGATGATGATGATGATGATGATGATGATGATGATGAGAAGAATGAAGATGACGATGATGATGATGATGTTGATGATGATGCTGCTGCTGCTTCTGATCATGATTCTGATTATGATGATGTCGGCGATGACGACGATGATTATGATAATGATGATGATCTGATCAGTATAACGACTATGATGATGATGATGACGCTGACGATGCGGATTCTGATGATGATGCTGATGATGTTGTTGATGATGCTGGTGGTGATGATGATGACGATACCGATGGGGTTGATTAGGATGTTGATGATGATGATGATGATGATGATGATGCTGCTGATGATGATGATGATGATGAGGCTTCTGTTGATGATGCTAATACTTATGATGATTGTGATGGTGATGATGATGGTGATGATGCTTATGATGATGATGGTGATGATGATGACGATGATGACGATGCTGATGATGATGTTGATGATGCGGATGATGAGGATGATGAGGATGGCCATGAGCAGGAGCAGGCGGAGGATGAAGAGGTGAAGGACGAGGGATGAAGGGAGGAGCATTCAGATCTGGGAGGGCAGGAGAAGGGAGGCATGAGCAATGCGATGGCATCAGCAACGACACTAATATGGACCATGTCGACGATGAGGCTGGTGGCGCTGATGATTGTGATAATCCTGATAATGCTGCTGATGATGCTGATGCTGCTGCTGCTGCTGATGATGATGATGATGATGCTGATGATCAGGATCTTGATGATGCAGATGAGGTTGATGCTGCTGTTGATGTTCATGATTGTGATGATGACGATGATAATGATGATGATGATGGTGGTGTTTATGATGATGATGATGATGATGATGATGATGATGATGATGATGATGACGATGATGATGATGATGATGATGATGATGATGATGATGATGATGATGATGATGATGATGATGATGATGATGGTGATCCCCCCTCAGCGGGCACCGTGCGCTGCACAGGAGCCGCCCCGCGGCCGCGGCCGCCGCGCCGAAGCCTCAGCCCCGGTCCGCCGAGTGCTCGCCCTCGACACAAACGCAGGCCGCCGGACGAGCGCAGAGAGCGACAGGCGCTACACAGTCCCCCCGCCGCCGGCGACGAGCTCCATGAAGTCGAGCCGCACCCCCGTGAGGAGACCCGCCTCTTCCGCGTCCGCCTTGAGGATACGAACGCTGGCCCTGTCCCCGTCGACCGCGTCGATCCGCCCCACCGTGCCCTCAAAGAGGCCGCAGCGTCGCAAGACCACCACGTCGCCAGCGCCCACGGCCCGCCGACGGGCCGCCGCAGCCTGCGCCGTCGACCGCTGCAGGCCGTCGGCCCAGGAGTCGTCCATGGGGTCGCCGTCGGGCGGCGCGGCCGCCGCGGCTGCACCAGCCGCAGCTCCAGCTTCGGGGTCCCCCACGCCAGCCTCCGCCGCCGCCCCAACTCCACCAGGACGAGCACCTCCCCGAGAAGCGGGCGCTACCGTCGCCGACGACGCCTGGCCAGGCCGTGCCGGGCGCCGAAGCCGCCGAGCCCGTGTAGTCGCCGCTGTTGCGCCGCCAGCTCCTCCATCCTGCTGCTCCTCCGCGTCGTCGCCGTGGGCGCCTGGCACGGCAGGCGAGGGCCCGGCGCTGCGCCCCGCGCGGCCGCGCGGCCGGTGGCGCCTCCGAGGGAGCGCCGCGGCCGCTGGCTCCGGCGGGGAGGGCGCTGCCTTCGTGCCGAGCTCCACGATCGCTGCCCGGAGCAACCCTTCGGCGGCCCGCAGCATGCGCACTCCCGACCGGGAGTGGCACGCCGCGAGCCCGCTGGCAGCATGCGCCGCCAAGAGAGCGCCGCGGGCCGCCTCGGCGGCAGCGCGGGCTCCGGAGGGACCGGCCATCGCTGCCCTTCCTCAGCCTCCACCTGCTGCCGGGGTAGCAGGCGGACAGGTCTGTGCGGGCGCGCGGCCTGCGTCGGGGGCGCGGGCGCGCGCGGCGGGGCCAGCGTGCACGCCTTGGGCCAGTATGCCGACTATGATGATGATGATGATGATGATGATGATGATGATGATGATGATGATGATGATGATGATGATGATGATGATGATGATGATGATTACTGACGACTGATGGTCGTGATGATGATGACGATGCTGATGATGATTATGATGATGCTGATGATGATTATGATGATCCGTAAGGGCTTCGGCCCCTGCCGCCGGCCCCCTCTCGGAGAATGGGCCATGGAACAGCGAAGTCATGAGGCTTTGGCTTCACCGTGAAGCAGCGTCGGAACTTCATGCGAAGACGATAGGTAATTGGCAAGACGAATGATGGAGATTGCGAGTCTATTGTTGTACTCGCTGTTATATACACTTCAAAAATGTGGCAAATCCCATGTGTTTTTGGACCCTGACACCGCGGATCTGTGTGAGGGGTGCCATCGAATTTTCAAGAATGTGGCAAATCCTCTGTGTTTTTGGACCCTGACCCTGCCGATCCGCGTGAGGGGTGCCACTGAATTTCAGAAATGTTGAGAATCCCATGGGTTTTCGGACCCTTACCCCGCCGATCTGCGTGAGGGGTGCCATCGAAGTTCAGAAATGTGGCCAATCCCATGTGCTTTTGGACCCTGACCCCGCCGATCTATGTGAGGGGTGCCACCGAATGTCAGAAATGTAGCAAATCTCTTTATTTTTGAACCCTGACCCCGCCGATCTGCATGAGGGGTGCAACCGGATTTCGGAAATGTGGCAAATCCTATGTGTTTTTGCACCCTGACCCCGCCGATCTGCGTGAGGGGTGCCACCGAATGTCAGAAATGTGGCAAATCCCATGTGTTTTTGGACCTTGACCCCGCCGATCTGTACGAGGGGTGCCAGCAAATTTCAGAAATGTGGCACATCCCATCTGTTTTTGGACCCTGACCCCGCCGATCTGCGTGAGGGGTGCCACCGAATTTCAGAAATGTGGCAAATCCCATGTGTTTTTGGATTCTGACCCCGCCGATCTCCGTGAAGGGTGTAAATTTTTACCCACCCCAGCAATTCAGACAACACGCTCAGGGCGTGCTAAACCTGCCCGTTCGGGCCTCCCCCCCTCGCGCGGTCCATCAACAAGGAACAGTAAGCAGCAAGAAGCAGTACTGTAACAGTGGAAACTGGAAGCTGCAACTGGTACAGGAAACTGCGAACCTTCGGCCTACAGCCTGGTGGCCCCACAAGGGGGCCGGCGGATTCTGCTGATGATGACGATGACGATATGGTGATGATGATGCTGTTGCTGTTGCTGTTGCTGTTGCTGATGATGATGATGATGATGATGATGATGATGATGATGCTGCTGCTCATGATTCTGATGATGAGGATGATGATGCTGACGATGATGATGATGCTGATGATGATGATGCTGATGCTGCTGATGATGCTGATGATGCTGCTGATGATGATGATGGTGGTGGTGGTGGTGGTAGTGGTGGTGAAGCTGACGGTGATGATATGGCTGAGGAGAGTAAACACGACGAGGAGGAAGAGGAGACGATATTGGCTAACCTGCTACAGCTGAGGAAAGTGAAGATGCAGGCGCTAACTATGATGACGATGATCAAGCCGATGATAAAGATGGTGGTTGGCGTGATGATGGTGGTGGTAATTCTGAGGGTGATGTTGTTGCTTATTCTTATTGGTATGACGACGATCATGGTGGTGAGTGTTGTAATGCCAATGTGATGCGGAGGAGGACGAGGAGGAGGAGCAGCAGGAGGAGGAGGAGGAGTAGGAGGAGGGCGAGGAGGAGGCGGACGAGAAGGAGGAGGAGGAGGAGGAGGAGGAGGAGTAGGAGGAGGAGGAGGAGGAGGAGGAGGAGGAGGAGAGACGGGAGCAGCAGCAGGACAAGGTGGAAAGTAATATCACTGGGAGGAAGATCAGGAGACCGTGCACTCTTCCCTGAGAAGAAGCGCAGGAAGCTCGCCGTCGTGTGCAATCACAGCGGTGACCAACGTTGTACATGGTATCGCCCTCTGGTGGAAATATAAGCAGTACGTTGGCGATCGCGCAGAGATGATTACAGTACGATGTCGAAGTGGCCGGGAATGTTTGGTGGATGCCAGAGGAAACGTGTCAGTACTGGAATTTGCCTCCTCCTGCTTAGAGATTGGGCTTCGAATCTAGAAGGCGCAATGTCATCAAATCCGAGAACATTTCTTTGGGAACGGACGCGCGTCCAGTGGACTGCAGATTCATACCCATTACGAGACGGTGTCCAAACTATGCGCCGAGAGGGCAGTTCTGATAGGGACACGTATTCGCCTTCTCCGTTTGATTTTGTCGTTCTTCGTTTGTTTTTTGGAACCGTTTACAGTTGAAAGCATATGGCCTCAAGCTCGCATGTCGGGTGATGTGCTATGGGACACTCGCCATTCCGACGCTTTGACCGAACACGCGGCGACGTATTCTTGGAGATCAATTGGTCAGATCTCCGAGCAATCAGTTTGGACGCGATCGGTACGCAGGCGGGCAACTACCCGTCTTTGCATTGATACCGTCAGGAGAAGCGACGGCCGCAGCGCAGCCGGCGTGGCCGTGCTGACACCTTGTCGGCAACGGCAGCAACGCATTCTTGCACAGATCCGTAGGAACTTCCAGGAGTTTGACCACCTGCATGTATGGCCGAAGCGCTCGCTTTGGACATCGGCCCCAGCACCCTCGCGAATACGCGTTGCCGACAGCGGGCTGCGGTTGGCGAGCCCGCCTCCCACGGGCGCAAAAGGAGAGCGACGGGAAGGAGGACGCCCCATGGCGCGCACGCGCCCAGCGCGACCAGAGCCCCCTCGGGGGGGCGACCAGGGGGGGACTGGCCCAAGGGGGGAGGGACATCGACCCTGAATCGCCCATTCGTCTCCGAGTGGCCTACCCAGGAACGTGCGGTCTCTCTGTCGGGGCCCTGTCGCCGATCTCTCGGCGATGCATAAGGAGGAGGATCAGCGGAACGAGTGAGTGAGGCAATCTCTGCCGTACGAGGAACTACAGTACGCGGAGGACGACGAGACGGATGATGATGATGATGATGATGATGATGATGATGATGATGATGATGCTGATGCTGATGCTGATGCTGATGCTGATGCTGATGCTGATGCTGATGCTGATGCTGATGCTGATGCTGATGCTGCTGATGCTGATGCTGATGCTGATGCTGCTGATGATGATGATGATGATGCTGCTGCTGATGATGATGATGATGATGATGGTGATTATGATGATGATAATGGTGATTATGATTGTGGTGGTGGTGGTAGTGAAGGTGGTGGTGGTGATGATGCTGATGATGACGACGATGATGATGGTGGTGGTGATGATGATGGTGATGATGATCACGCCGATAATGAGGATGATGATGATGATGATGATGATGATGATGATGATGATGATGATGATGATGATGATGATGATGATGATGATGCTGATGATGATGATGATGATGATGATGATGATGATGATGATGATGATGATGATGATGATGATGGTGGTGGCGGTGGTGATGATGATGATGATGACGATGATGCTGACTATTATGGTGGTGATGATGAGATGGTGTTGGCGGTGGTGATGATGACGATGATGCTGATTATTATGGTGATGATGATGATGATGATGATGATGATGATGATGATGCTGATGATGATGATGATGCTGATGATGATGATGATGGTGGTTGTGATGGTGGTTGTGGTGGTGGTGGTGGTGGTGGTGTGATGATGCTGATGCTGCTGACGATGATGACGATGATAGTGACGGCGGCGATGATGATGCTGATGACGCTGATGCTGAATGATGATGCTGACGATGACGATGACGATGACGAAAACGATGACGATGCTGGTGTTGTTGTTGTTGTTGTTGTTGTTGTTGTTGTTGATGACGATGATGATGATGATGATGGTGGTTGTGGTGGCGGTGATGATGATGATGCTGGTGGTGATGATGATGACGACGACGATCACGACGACGACGACTGCTGCTGCTGCTGATGATGACGATGATGATGACGATGATGATGCTGATGGTGATGGTGGTGGTGATGTTGTCGATGACTATGACGATGAGGAGGAGGAGTAACATCAGGACGAGTATCGGTATCCGCTGCGGCGACGGCCCGGCCCCGTCCCGATGGCCGGCATGCGTTCTGTGGGCTCGGCTCTTCCGGCACAGGTGGAGTCTCTGAGCGTGCCAGCCTTTGGTAGCACGCCGTCCTTCGCCTCGTTGCATCTAGGCCTCCTAGATGTTCTAGGCCTCCTAGATGGGGTCGGAGTAGATGGGGTCGGAGGATCGCGCCGCATCGCCGATGCATCGGCGATGCATCGGCGATGCGGCTCAATGTGGGGCCCAATGTTCTTCACACCGACATCGCCGATATATCGCTGACGTCGCCAGTGCATGGCCGATGCATCGGCGATGCATCGTCGATGAATCGGCGATGCGGTCAGATCCTCCGACCCCTTCTACTCGGACCCTATCTAGGAGGCCTCTATTGCTGGCTTCCGCATTCGGATCAAGCGCCAGCAGCGTGAAGATAAACTCAACGAGTATAGGAGAACCCCTATCCCTAATAGCATAGTGAAGACGTGGCCTCGCTCAGGCCCAGGTCGCTATCCCTAATGTCTTTGACCCTCCTAACTTAGGTCCCCTCCCAAAGGGTTAGGGGTCCTTTCATTGCTAATCATAACCTCTCGGGGTCCCGCGCGGATTCTTACGGTCGGCGCTGAGCGCCGCCCCAGCGGAGCCTCCAGCGCCGCCCCCCAGCGCGGTCCGCGCGCCAGCGAAGGGAGGTCCAGCGCTCATCCAAGGAGTCCGCGCGGACTTCCGATGTCTTTTCCCAATACTTGAGGAGTTTGTCCTTCTTCGAAGAAGTAAGATATATATATATAGAGAGAGAGAGAGAGAGAGAGAGACAGAAAGAGAGAGAGAGAGAGAGAAGAGAAAGGTCTGGAGGAGGAGGAGTAGGAGGAGGAGGAGGAGGAAAAGAATGATGACGAACCTTTTAGGGGAGAGATGAGGTGGTCGAGGAGGTGCAGGAGTAGGAGGTTCCAGCGCCGAGCCAAGAAATAATCCGCGCAGGGCTGCAAACGTTTGTGTCTGTGCCGTGTCTTGTTCCCCTGGTCAGATGGTGCCAACTGTACACCCACACCGATCTTGGCCAGGTCGATTCTGGGCCCAGGATGGGCCTGACCAGGATCGGTGTGGGTGTATAGTTGGTGCCCTCCTACACTGCCATGGCGCGCTCGTTCTTGCCGTCGGACATGCAGCTTTGGGGCTGATAGGCTCATGGGGGATGCATCGAACCCGAATCGCCGTCTCATTGTCGATATGGGCCCGATAGCCCACACCGCCCAAGAGCTTGCGGCTCCACTCTCAGGAGCCCATCGCCGATGTGTTGGCGATGTACCGCCGATTCCAGGTCGATGTCTCCCTCCTTAGCCAGGACCAGCCGGGACCCTGGGGGGATCGGCATTCTGACCTGGGCCCCCCCCCCTCGCCCCCCCCCTCGCCCCCCCCCCCTCGCCCCCCCCTCCTCCCCTCCCGATAAAAGGAAGGGGCTTCCCTTCGATTTGACTGCGACGTTCCTCTTCTTTGTTCCTCAAGTTTTTCGGGACTGGCGACGACGACGACGGCGACGACGATGACGACGACGGCGGCGGCGGCGACAACGACGACGGTGACGACGACGACGACGACGAGTCGGACCGGAGCGCCCACCTCTGCCGAGGCTTGGCGAGCGTGGTGGAGGAGGCCGACGCCGCGTGGCGGGGCGCCGCGCGCGCGGCGCGAGAGGCCGCCGCGCGGCGCGAGCTCGGCGAGGCGCGCACGGGGCCAGCGGGGGCGGCGACCCCGGGGGCAACGATGGGGGGGATATGCATACGGGGGGGATGCCTCGACCCCCAATCGCCCATTGATCGCCGATAGGGGCCCGATAGCCCCACCCCGCCCAGGAAGGTGCGGTTTAGCTATCGGAGGGCTATCTCCGATCTATCGACGGTGTATCGCCAATTCCAGGTCGATGCTTCCCCCCCTATTCCAGTCCTCCCGTCTCGTTGTCCTTCACGACCACGACGGTCAGCAGGTGGGTAGGGTCGGACCGAGGTACAGGCCTGGGAAACAAATTGCGAACACTCATGCCACATTCCTCGGTCGACGCCTCCCCCCCAATGTTCAAAGTTGGCGATGGGTCTGCTGAGTCGCACTTCGACCGCTTTTTTTTCTTTCCGCGCGTGCCAATTTTGAATTTTGGGGCAAGGGGGAGTGTCCATTTATTGTTTCAATCTACCGTATGAGAGCGAGGTCTTGACTCACATATCCCCCTTGTGTCATGAGAAGATCACGGCGGGGGGTTCTGGGACGTTTTCGGCCTCTGGGGGCCCTTTCGCGGGCCGCGGGAGCGTCAAATAACGAGTCAGAGGATGAAACACGGCGGGGAATGGGTCGAGATATCTGGGGTCGACGTTACGGTCGTACCGAGGTACAAGATCGAGGTGGGTTCGGGGAGGGTACTTTGATGTTCTTCGTGTTTGTTGGATGTTCTTGTGCATCCTGGGGGAGGGTACCTTCCTACTTCAAGAGTCGAGCGGTCGTCCCTCTTTCCCTCCTCTTCAGGGAGCGGGCAGAGACCCAATCTACTTCCAACGCCTTCCTACTTTCTGTTTCTACCCACTTCTTCCGACCGACGGGTACAGAAACGCAAACTTTCGGGGCTCCGCGCGGATTCCTCGGTTCGGCGCTGGACCCCCCTCCCTGGCGTGCGGAGCGCGACGGGGGCGGCGCCGAAGCCGCCGTCAGGAGGTTCCCAGCGCCGATCCGAGAAGTCCGCGTGCAGCTCCGAAAGTTTATTGTTCATTCTTCCGACCGATGGGTCATCTCAGGTCGGGCATGTCCCCCTCTACAGGCGGATGTTGGAAGGGAACATTGGAAAGAGGCAAGACATATGCACAAAAGCTCAATCAAAACACGAAGCATCGCCACCATAATTCCCTACCTAGGCTCTGCCGCCCCGGGCGGTTCCCCCGGGATCCGCCCCGCGGATCCCCCAGTTACTTCCCTTTAGCTTAGCGTTGCTTATCTCATCTTAGCTTAGCCTAGCTTAACTTAGCTTAGCTTAGCCTAGCCTAGCTCAGCTTAGCTTAGCTTAGCCTAGCCTAGCTTAGCTTAGCTCAACTTAGCTTAGCTTAGCGCAGTGCAGCATTAGCTTATCATAGCATAGCATAGCATATCATATCATATCATATCATATCACATCATATCATAGCGCAGCATATCATACCATATCATAACACATCATAGCGCATCATATCATATCATAACATATCATATCATAACATAGCTTAGCTTATCATAACACAGCGCATCATGTCATATCATATCATAACATATCATATCATAGCGCAGCATATCATATCATATCATATCATAGCGCAGCATAGCGCAGCATAACATAGCATAGCATAGCGCAGCACATCATGGTATATCATAGCATAGCATGGCATAGCGCAGCATATCATATCATAGCATAACCTAGCATAGCATAGCATAGCGCAGCATAACATACCATAGCATATCATATCATAGCATAGCATAGCGCAGTATAGCATAGCATAGCATAGCGCAGCATAGCATAGCATAGCATAGCCTGGCACAATACAGCGCAGCCGAGAGTACCCTAGCATAGCATAGCATAGCATAGCGCAGTCGTGCGGTGCAGACTGGATACGGAGCATTCTCAAGCACACCCGGTGAGCGAATGCGGAAACATGCGTGTGTGTGTGTCTGTGCGCAGGCAAAACAACAACAAAACCAAGCAAAAGCAACAACAACAACAAAACAACAGCAACATAAAAAACAAAAACATCAGCAAAGGCAAGGCAATGCAAAACAAAAGCAAAGCCAATGCGAAATTGTAGATGTAGATGTAGATGTAGGTGTGGGTGTAGATGTGGACGTAGGCGTAGATGTAGGTGTAGATGTAGATGTAGATGTGAGTCTCGCTGTTGATGTTGATGTAGATGTAGATGCAGGTGTAGATGCTCATGTAGCTGTCGGTGTAGATGTAGATGTTGCTTTCCTAGATGCTCCAACTCCTAGGTAGGGTCGCACTGGGATGATATTTCTCACCGTTCTTGAACATTCCTCCCGCAGAGGGACATGCCCGACTCGAGGGTCATCGCTGGGCGCCTGGCACGCCGCTGCCGCCCGCCGCGCGCAGGCCGCAGCGCCCGCGGCGCCGCTCGGCGCCCGCGCGGCCGCCCCGCGTGGCCCGCGGCGCGGCCGCCTCTCGGGGGCCGCGGGCACCGGGGCCGCCACGGGGCCGCACACGCGGGCCGAGCCGGAGGGGCGGGGGCGGACAGGTGTCGGGAGCCATGAGACGGGGGTCAACGCAAACGCGCAGATGGGAGGTACAGTGGAAACCCATGCCAAGAAACCCTGCTTGCCTCCAGTGTGCCCTGGGTTTAGTGGGTTTCGAGGGTTTTGCTCTGGAAGGCGTGACCTTCCCGCACCAGAAATCGATGGACGTCCTGGATTCTCAGGGTAGGTTTTTCTTGTGGAAGGTTTCTTGTGGTCGAGCCCCTACTGTATAGGGGGGGGGGAAGGCTTCTTTTGACGGGCGAAGGGCGGTAGAAACGAAACCTTTTCGCCGTCGAGGACGCCTGCCCCCCGGGCGGCTGCAGAGTTTCTACCCCTACGGTGACATTTTAGGCCTCCCAGATGGGGTCGGAGTAGATGGGTCGGAGGATCGCGCCGTATCGCCGATGCATCGGCGATGCATCGGCGGTGAGGACAGGTTCGGCCACGCGCAGAGGGGGGTACACGCTGGTCGTTGAGAGTACGTATTTTTGGATTCCCAGAGTCCCACTCATTACTTCAAGCGCCTTCCTACTGCAAGAATCAGCGTGGCTTTGCTGTGTTTTGTTATTCTCTGGGAGGGCCTGAACCCAATCTACTTTATCCGCCTTCCTACTTCATGTTTTTACCTACTTCTTCCGACCGACGTGTATAGGGGTATTCGAGGCCTCACAGATGGGGTTGGAGTACATGGGGTCGGAGGATCGCGCCGCGTCGCCGGTGCATGGAATTTTTGATTTCCCAGATCCCATTCTACTTCAAGCGCCTTCCTACTTAAGGAATCGACATGGTTTTGCTGTGTTTTGTTATTGTCTGGGAGGGCCTGGACCCAATCTGCTTTATCCGCCTTCCTACTTCATGTTTTTACCTCTTCCAGATGGGTTCGGAGTAGATGGGGTCGGAGGATCGCGCTGCGTCGCCGATGCATCGGCGATGCGGCTCGATGCGGAGCCCGATTTTCTCCACGCCGACGTCGCCGATGTATCGCCGATGTATCGCCGATGTATCGCCGATGCATCGGCCATACATCGGCGATACACAGGCGATACGGTACAATCCTCCAACCCCATCTACTAAAACCCCATCTAGGAGGCCTCTAGGTATGGGAGAGGGGAGACGGCTTCTTAGAAACACCTCTGCCTCTTAGAAGGCGCGGGCCTTGTCTGCAGATGTAAGACTGGGGCCCTCTAAAAAGCGGCCTGGGAGGGTGCGGACTTTTTTGGTCGCGACACGGCGGAGGCAATCTGCACGGGCGTTCGAGCTGTCGGGGGCGCTCGACAAGCTAGTTGTCTGGCAGCAGGGGGGAGGCGCGTGAGGAGGAGAAATGGCCGCGGAGGACAGGAGGGAGGGCTAGGGCACTCACGGCTGAAAGCGGGCGGGTGCGGACAGGTGCAGGCCAGATTCGGCGGCGAGCCTGGGGGGGAGGTGCGAGGGGAAGTGCAGACGAGGGGAAGGTACCGACAGCGCTGCCCTTCCCGCGTTTTTCCCTTTTTGGGCCTCCTGGGAAAACAACCTCGTCTCCACGGCTGGATTCGCTCCGACATCCTGGTCAGAGCGCAGCCCAGGAGGGGTCTGAGAAGCAGCTGCATCGGTACTTTGTGGTTTCCTCAGGAGTGAGAGGCGGCGGGCCTGCTCAGAAGGCGGCGGGGCTTCTCAGAAGCCCTCGCGCCTTTGCGAAGTCTTCTAAGCCTTCTCCGAAGATGCAGACACCTTCTCAGAAGCCCTCGCGCCTTCTGAGAATCCCCGCCGCCTTCTGAGAAGGCACGCCCCCTCCCACTTTCCCCCTGGGCTCGCCGCCGATCTAGGCCTCCTGGATGGGGTCAGATTTGATGGGGTCGGAGGATCGCGCTGCGATGCATCGGCGATGCGGCTCGACGTGGGGTCCACTTCTCTCCACGCCGACGTCGCCGATGTATCGGCGATGTGGCGCGATCCTCCGACCCCATCTACTCTGACTCTATCTGGGAGGCCTCTATCGACGGTGTTCGGAGGGTTCTCGGAGGTTTTCGGGGCCCAGGGTTGTTTCCATCAGCTGCGCCTCGTCGAGATCGCTCAGGGGTTGCCGGAATCGCCCCGAACGGCCGCCTGAGGCACGAGTTATGGTACGAAAGCCAGCGGGCTCAATACAACGTCAGGGGGGATAGGCTTGTGGGGTGGGGTGGGGGGGAACATCGATTTGGAATCGGCGACACACCCCCTGGTCCCCCACTCGTCCGCGCACATGCCTCGAGCCCTGATGCGCCCACCCCTCTTCTTGGCCCCCCCCCTTTTACCTTGCGCCCGAGACACGAGAGGAGAGCGGGCGGCGCGGCTGGAGGGGCCACGGGCCTCTTCAGCCCGAAAGTCGACACCGACCACGAGCGGCTGCGCTATCGGGTGCAGAGGGGGATTGGGGGTTTATGCTTTACTACCTGGGGAACTTGGTTACCAAGGTTAGCTTTTACCTCGAAGACCTGGCGTGCGCCTACTCTTCACACTGCTCTTGGCTTCGTCTCTTTTCATTTCATTTTCCGCGGCACCCGCCAGGTACCTCTTTGACCTGAGTCGCACCGTATCTTTTCCATGCTGCACTTCATAACGCAACAGGCTCGCTCCATCGGCGATGCATCGGCGATGCGGCGCGATCGTCCGACCCCATCTACTTGGGACCTTTTTTGGAAGGACTCTACGTGGGAGGGAGAGGCGAGGGGTCGGAGATCGACGTCGTTTCTGTTCACGGTGCACACTGTGAGTGCTTGGTTTTTCTGGTGTGTGGTCCCTGCGCCTCGGGCGTCGGGGCCCGCTCAGAGCAAACGCGTTCTAACACCGCGGAAATGTCTGCGGCCACAGAGTGCGGAGTGTGAAGCGATGCTTGGCAGGATCGTGCAGGTGCAAGAGAGGACAACAGCGGGCAAGTCGTGCCCCCCTCTCGTCATGTGATGATTTTACCCAGTTTTCCCTCTCCCCTGTGTTGCTCGGGGCCCTGCCCTTTCTACAATTATTTTCATCCAGGGTTCCTGCAGTCGCCTTCGGTTCATCATAATGGTTCGGCTGCTTTGTCCGCTGCAGCGTTGGCAACACCTTAGGCTCGCTGCATAGCTCTTGTCGTTGGGACTGGCTCCGTCGCACGGGCGCGGGCCATATTTTTGGATCCGATTGCTTCCTCGTGGCTGACGCCCTCCTTTCCCCTCCTTCCCCTGCTGCTTCTGCGGTTCCTCCGATGTCCCAAAAGCCCCCCTCGCCGATTGGACTGTGAAGCAAGCGCTGCGTCAAGTTCGGCGACTGCCATTCGGGGATCAAGTTTTCTAGGACATCCCACCCCGAGGTTAGGAGAGTGTCCAGCGCAATCGGGATGGCTGAGTGGGACAGGGTGGCAGACGTGGCGCGAGCTCACTTAGCTTGCCTTTTCCCCTCCTCTTCCTTTTTCCTTTCTATTGAATGCAATTTTTCTTCTTTCGGGAGGGGAGGAGGTATCAATGACAACGCCGCCGTTGAGATCTCGTCAGCGTGTTATTCCTTCGTTTGTGTCCGAACGCATCGTCTTCTTGCAATGGTAACGCGCTGATGGGTTCCCCACTGCGCTTGGTCATTGATACTTTTTTTGCTCCCCGGTCGTCATCTCTCTCATCTCTTGTTTGTCGTTCCACAAGTTTGATTCTCTCTCTCTCTCTCTACTTCCGCTTATTTTTCTTACGCTCAATTCGGTCGGTCTGGTCATTTGGCTTTCGGTCATGGTTCGCTCCTTTCTCTCCCCCCGTGTTGCTCTCAGGGTTGGGAGGCCGGCGCCAACTTTGGAGGCGATCGGCAGGAGGCGGGGCCAGAGCTGGAGCTCAAGGTGTTGGAGGCCCAGAAGGAGGCGGACCCGCAGCTCTTGCTCGAGGAGCTCTGCGGTGCCAAATCGGTTCACCCATCCACGAGTTATCAGTGTATCACCAGGTCGGGATGGAAAAATAGTGCCACTGACGCTCCGCCGCCTGGAGCCCGTCGGCGTGCGCTGCTTCCTCGGTTTTTGCCCGAAGGCCTTGTGCTTTTTTCAGTAGTAGCGCGCTGAGGGGTTTCCTACGGTGGTGCGTCATTGACTCTTTTCTGGCTGAGCCGTCGAAGCGTGCATGATGTGCGCGGCAATCTGCAATCCGCCTCCGCTTCTTCGGCGCGGTGCGTCCCAGGGACCGTGATTTTGGTTTTGGTCGCACACTGCTTGCCTACATTGCAGCCAGGGCGTCGCACTGACTCGAGACAGGTGAGTCTTGTTCCCCAAACAGTGCTTGGACTTAGGGGTTCTCATTTCTGCTCTTAAGGAACTGGGCCTGTCTGCCGCTCTGGCGACTATGTTGTCGCCGTCGCCGCCCCGTCGCCGCCTCGTCGTCGCCCGTCGTCTGGGCCTGTCTGCCGCTCTGGGGGCTATGCTGTCGCCGTCGCCGCCCCGTCGCCGCCTCGTCGTCGCCCATCGTCTGGGCCTGTCTGCCGCTCTGGCGGCTATGTTGTCGCCGTCGCCGCCCCGTAGCCGCCTCGTCGTCGCCCGTCGTCTGAGCCTGTCTGCCGCTCTGGGGGCTATGTTGTCGCCGTTGCCGCCACGTAGCCGCCTCGTCGCCGCCTCGTCACTGTCACGTAGGTATTTTGCACAACATTGATTGAGCAACATAGATTGCACAATATAGATCGCACTACATGTATTGCACCATGTAGATTGCACACCATGGGTTGCACAACATAGGTTGCACCACATGTATAGCACCACATAAATTGCACCACGTAGATTGCACAGCATCGATTGAACAGCATAGTTTGCACAACATACGCTGCACCGCATTGGTCTTCCCACGTGAACTGGACTGCATAGTTTGCACCGCATATACTGCACCACAGACACGGCACACCATATTTTACACCACATGTATGGTACAACGTATATTCTCTTTTCTAAGAGGGTAGAAGGAGCTTCCCCCTTCCCCCCCCGACTGAAAGCTTCGTATTGCAATTTGCATATGATTCTGCCCCATCGTCCATCCTAAATTAGAATTCATACCATCCCAGGCAGGCCGGTATCACCCCCCCGCCCCCCTCATCTTTTGCTGCAGTAAATGCGAAGCGCGCACTCGTTTATCACACATCATAAGTTTTCAACAATCCCTTGCAAAAGCGGAGCGAAGTGCACACGTGCGCGTTGTCGCGCGCCCATGCCGCAATCCTTCCAAATCCGTGGGTTTCACAAGGATGTCAAAATCGAGTGTCCCGAAAACATATATAATCACAGGGTTTCGCAACACGGATTTTCAAAGGAAGCTTGCGCTCGGGCTCTTGCGAATTTCCAAGAAAACGATCGATGTTTCCCCTTCAATTCCCAACCATCCTGTGGTGTTCGGTCCTCGTTTTGAAGAGACAGCGCCCCGCGTCTCACCTCATCTCACCTCCCGCTGCCCCCTTCCTCCTTCCCCTCCCTCCTCCCATTCCACGTCCACGTCCACGTCTCCGGGGTGTAGCCGCTGCGCGACTCCCGGACCAGCAGGCGGTATAACCTCTATGTACAACCTGAAGGATGGGGAAGCCCACAGCGGCTGGCCCCCCTGCCGCCCTTCTCCTGTCTGCCCCCAGGGGGGGGGACGCGGGGAGCAGGAGCCCAGGAGGCCAGAAGAGGAACCAGGGAGACCGAAGAAACCAGGACGAGAACCAGGGGGCCCGAGGAGGGGGAAGGGGAGGGGGGGAGGGGAGCCCGACCAGAGAGTGGCAGGGGGGGGGTCAACCATGGGAAGAGGGAAGACCGTCGCGTCTCGATCGCGTGTACAGCCCTGCAACAAAACCCGCACCAGCCCACACAACGACCGCCCGAGGCGCGCAACACAATAGCGGAGGCACATCGAGAAAGGGGTGCGCCCGACCCGGTCCCCCATGGAGGTGGCCGCAACAGCGGTGAGCACCACGCACAGTGGCCCCACTTGATGCATTTAGTCATACCGACCCCTATTGGGGGGCCGACGCGCCAAGAGGCCCAGAACTGCCAGGCTGTATGACGCTCCACCCTGGGTCCAGGCCCCAGGAGGCCCGAAGGGGAGACACCGCCCCCTGGGACCCCACCCACGGGGGGAGCGTGACGATCCAGACGTTCGTCCTAACGAGAGCGCCCGAGAGACGAGATTCACGGAAACATCACCCACAAAACAATTTCATTCAAAAACACGCCACACGTTTCTCCCCGGCCGCGTGGGGCAGGGGGCGGCTGGCCACTCGGTGGAAACCGGCGACCTGGCGCAGATGGATGGGGCAAGCCCTTCCTTGTGCCGCCCCCAGATGGTCGGGGGAACCCGCCATCGACAGCGTGCGGTGTAGAAACACCAACACGGGCAGCGCAGCTAAAATCCGAAACTTGTTGTGTGGCGCTCGTGTCCCCAGAAGCTTCGTGTTCATGGACCTCGCATACCGTTACCAAGCTCTCGCCCTCTTCATAGCTTCCCTATCCTGTTCACTCCGCGCTCCCATCTATGTTGGCCCTTATTACCACCTTCTGGTTTCGATGAGTCGTTTTAGGACGCCCACCCCGCCCGACCATGGTCGAAACCACCGCCGAGTGAGACCGGCGCCCAGGGACTGCACACCCCGCCCGACCATGGCCAAAACCACCGCCGAACGACATGTGCACACCCATTTGACGGTGCGCCTAGACCAAGGGCGTCGCCGTCCTGCCACCCCGCCCACCATCAGGGGAAAGGTCCGGAGACCCAACCGCCCCTGATAGGTGTTTGGACGAACTGGGTTGTACACTCCCGCCCCCGAACAATCAAATGTGTCCAGTGATAGGCTCGCAAGTGCCAGTGGCCAGTGACCCAAAACAATAGCAACGAACCTAACAACACCGAAGGCTCAAGAGGGGGCGCCCCCGGAGGGGCATGGGTTAGCCGTGTCCCCCTCCACCAAACCCTACCCCTTGACCACGAAAGTCCAAGCACACGAAGACCCGTGACCCAGCACAACAGCGGCGAGGGTGAAGGACTAGCCAATCCCGCAGGTTAGAGTGGGGGCTACCGACCCGCCTCGGTCAGTGGCTCCCCCCTACCCCTGCCATGGCTAGTCTTGCACACTCCTCCTGTGGTCCGGGATGGGGTCCAGTGGAGGGACGCGGGACACGTTGTCCCAGGTTCGGCCGTGTTCAGGTAGAACTGGAGGCCTGTGTACCTGCACCTGCTCCTCCCATTCCTGTCGCCGCATGTCCACCATGTCGGCACACCCCTCACGAGGATCGTGGCCCCATGGGGAGCTCCACCGAAGGCCCCAGCGGCAGGGTTTGCATGCGTCCCCCCGCCCGTTTTGGCACACCCCTCACGAGGATCGTGGCCCCATAGGGAGCTCCACCGAAGGCCTCAGCGGCAGGGTTTGCATGCGTCCCCCCGCCCATTTCGGCACACCCCTCACGAGGATCGTGGCCCCATAGGGAGCTCCACCGAAGGCCCCAGCGGCAGGGTTTGCATGCGTCCCCCCCGCCCATTTCTGCACACCCCTCACGAGGATCGTGGCCCCATACGGAGCTCCACCGAAGGCCCCAGCGGCAGGGTTTGCATGCGCCCCCCCGCCCGTTTTGGCACACCCCTCACGAGGATCGTTGCCCCATAGGGAGCTCCACCGAAGGCCCCAGCGGCAGGGTTTGCATGTGTCCCGCCGCCCACTTCTGCACACCCCTCACGAGGATCGTGGCCCCATAGGGAGCTCCACCGAAGGCCCCTGCGGCAGGGTTTGCATGTGTCCCCAGCCGATTTCGGCACACCCCTCCCGAGGATCGTGGCCTCACAGGGAGCTCCACCGAAGGTCTCAGCGGCAGGGTTTGCATGCGTCCCCCCGCATCGTGGCCCCATAGGGAGCTCCACCGAAGGCCCCTGCGGCAGGGTTTGCATGCGTCCCCGCGCCCGTTTTGGCGCACCCCTCACGAGGATCGTGGCCCCATGGGGAGCTCCACCGAAGGCCCCAGCGGCAGGGTTTGCATGCGTCCCCCCGCCCGTTTTGGCACACCCCTCACGAGGATCGTGGCCCCATAGGGAGCTCCACCGAAGGCCTCAGCGGCAGGGTTTGCATGCGTCCCCGCGCCCATTTCGGCACACACCTCACGAGGATCGAGGCCCCATGGGGAGCTCCACCGAAGGCCTCAGCGGGAGTGTTTGCATCCGTCCCCCCCGCCCGTTTTGGCACAACCCTTACGAGGATCGTTGCCCCATAAGTGGGTTGCACCGAGAGCGGTCCCCACAACGCGGTGCTCACAGTTGCACATGGCTTGGTCCTTCACCAGGATTATGTCCATAACATTATACCAGACGTGTCTCTCGCGCGCGAATGACGAAATCGCTCGAACGCCCTTGCGCGCGTGCTGTCGCACGAATCCCTTGCAAACAACGGGACGAAACGCGCACGCGCGCGTCGTCGGGCGCGCATCCCGAAATCTTTCAAACACCTTATGTGCCGTAGGATGTTTGAAGATTAGTGTCCCGAAAAACACACAAACACATGGTTTTGCAACACCAGTTTGCGACAATGCCTGCGCTCGAGATCCTGCGAATTCTTAAGGAAATCGCAGTTTTTTCCGCATTCTCATTCAATTCAGCCCAACAGGCGTCTCGCGCCGCATGTCGAAATCATTCGAACATCCTTGCGCGCGTGCTGGGGGGGGGCACGATCCGTGGCAAAAATACCATGCGTGCCACTCTCGCACGTCGGCGGCGTGCGCATGTCGAAAACCTTCCAGAACCGCGAGGACGCCGTCATCGTCGTCGGCGTTATCAGCATCGGCGCCGTCACTGGCTTTGCCGTCGTCGTTGTCATCATCGTCGCTAGCATCGCTACTGCCATCATCGTGTCTACCGTTGTCGACGTTGCCATGATACCGCTCCCGCCCAAGTCGCCGACTCGTGCTGAAGTGCCCGTTGGGAAGTGCCCAGCGGTCAGCGCCACCGCGGCCGCGCCGGTCGCTCCAAACTAGCTGACCGCTTCGCTCGCGAGCATGCGCGGGCTAGCGCGGCCGCAGAGATGCACTTGCCAACGCCAAGCACTCATCGCAGTCGCCGCCCCATGGGTTTTGCAAACCAAGCTGTGGGTGAGTGGGTGGGATGGTTGCGCGAGCAATGGCGCTGTATATGATTCTGACCACATGTCCATCCTAAATATGAATTTGCACTATCCCAGGGGGGCCGGTATCGACCCCCCTGAGGTTCCCTTGTGAAAACAATACGCGGGGACATCTTTTGTTCTCACATAGCAAGCATTTTTTCGCGAATCCTTTGCAACAAATATGACGAAGTGTACACGCGCGCGCCGTCGCGCGCGCATGCCGGAATCCTCCAAAAACATTCGGTGTCGGAGCGATTTCGCCATCGAGTTTCCAAAACACATGCGAAAACACAGGGTTTCGCAACAATGATTTGATGAAAAAGCTTGCGCGCGAGCTTTTGCGAAATCTTTAGAAAACCACAGTTTTTTTTCAATACTTTCACAACATGCTACCAAACGGGCTTCGCGCGCGCATGACGAAATCTGTCGGACGCCCCTGCGCGTGTGCCGTCGCGAGAATGCTCTGCAACAAAATCAAACGAAGTGCACACGCGCGCGTCGTCGCGCGCGTATGCCGAAATCCTTCAAACCCCATCGGTTTCGGAAAGATTTCAACATCGTGTGTCAAAAAAACCTACAAAACACAAGGTTTCGCAACACGGATTTTCAACAAAAGCGTGCGCGCGCGCTCTTGCGTCGTCGTCGTCGTCGTCGTCGTCGCCGTCCTCCCTCCTCCCGCGTCATCGTCGCCGTCGTCGCCTACGTCGTTCTCTGTCTTTCCTCGTGTTCGTCGTCGTCGTCCTCTTTGGCGTCGTGGTCGTTTCCGCCGTCGTTGTCGCCGTGGTCGTCCTTCCTCCTCCTCCCTCGTCGTCGTCGTCGTCCGTCGTCGGCGTCTCGTCGTCGTCCCTCCTATTTCGCCGCCGTCGTCGTCGTCGTCGTCGTCGTCGTCGTCGTCGTCGTCGTCGTCGTCGTCGTTGTCGTCGTCGTCGTCTTCCCTCCTCCCTCGTCGTTGTCGTCGTCGGCGTCGCCGTCCTTCCTCCTTCTTCGTCGTTCGCGTCGTCACCGTCCTCCCTCCTCCGTCGTCGTTGTCGTCGTCGTCGTCGTTGTCGCTGTCGTCGTCCTCCCTCCTCCCTCGTCGTCGTCTTCGTTGGCGACGTCGTCGTCGTCTTCGTCGTCTCCGTCGGCGTCGGCGTCGTCGTCGTCTTCGTCGTCGTCGACGTCGGCGTCGTCGTCGTCGCCGCCGCCGTCGTCGTCGTCGTCGTCGTCGTCGTCGTCGTCGTCGTCGTCGTCGTCGTTGTCATCGTCGTCGTCGTCGTCTTCGTCGTCGTTGTCGTCGTCGTCGTCGGCGTCGTCATCGTCGTCGTTGTCATCGTCATCGTCGTCGTCGTCGTCGTCGGCGTCGGCGTCGGCGTCGTCGTCGTCGTCGGTGTCGTCGTCGTTGTCGTCGTCGTCGTCATCGTCATCGTCGTCGGCGTCGGTGTCGTCGTCGTCGTCGGTGTCGTCGTCGTCGT